TGCATGTACACCTGCAGGACAGAGGAGAGACCCAGATCTCATTATAGATGGTTGTGAGCCACTATGTGGTTGCTGGGAATTGAACTCACAACCTTTAAAAGAGCAGCCAGTGCTCTTAACACCTGAGCCATCTCTCCAGCCCTAGGCTGTCATTCTTGAGCAACAAGTATTTTACCAGAACCATCTTCCAGGACTCATACTTCTCATTTTGAGAACCTCAGAAAGTTTTCCAGGCAGGCCTTAAGCTCATAATCTTCCTGCCTCAATCTCTCAAGTAGCTACCAGTACCAGTACCTGAGCCACCAGGCCAGTTTTTCGATGTTACTCCTTAAACCTGTATGTAAATGTACCAGTTATTCTGAAATAAAGTATCTTAAGCAGAGCTGAGGATGCAGGTTCACTAAAACACTTGTCTAGCATGTGACAACCCCAGGTCCCATGCCCAATTCTGTCAAGAAAAGTTTATAATATTGCCAACAAAAACAGTAAGAGGGGTTGGGGAGATGGCTCAGTAGTTGGTGCTTGGCGTGTAAGCATAAGCACCTGAGCCCAGATCCCCGGAACCTACATAAAAGCTGGGCATGGCAGCACCATGACACATCTGTAATACAGTTACAGGTGAAGGTGGGGCTGAAGGCAGGCAGATCTGCAGCTGGGCAGCCGGCCTAGCTGAAGCTGAGGGACATTCTGATGTCAGCCTCTGGTTGCCACACACGCACACACTCTGATCAGTCAAATAAGACTGTATTACCTCCATCCATGAATGACACTGAGTCTCTGACCCAAGCCTAGCTATATACAGGTGCTATTGCCACAGCATTTCTGCGACCCTGACAGTGTCCCGCAGGACTCTTCACTCTCCCTTAACAGAGAGAGACAGTCTCTGGGTTTCTAATCCATCTTCCTGCTAAGCTATCCAGGAAAGTGGGAGGAGTCTTTAGTATCTGGTAACTAAGTCAGTCTTGGAGAATCTTCAGAACAGGGAAACAAGCAGACTTGGAGGAGGGGCAGGTGAGGATGAAAGCTGCTTTGCTCCTTCTGTTCTTTCTACCTTGGCTGTACCTCAGTATCCCTTAGTACTCTAATTTTCTTCCAGTCTCATATTCCTAAACTTTGATCCTGGACTAAACCCACATTCTGCTCTCCCTGACCCTACCCCAGGAGGGGCTGGTTTGAAACTTGGGCAGTCTGACAATAGGGCCAAACTGTCCCTGAAAGCACCAGCAAAGAAGAGCAGGTGTCCACATGCCCCTCCAGGAGGCATAAAGGGGAAAGGTCTGCTTGCTCAGAGGGATGCCGACTGGAGGCTGAACTAAACCCAGGAAGACATGCCTGGAGCTTTTGGTCCTGGGTCCTACTCCAATACCTGCCTTGCCGATCTTACAAAGATGGGAGTGCATCCTAAACAGACTTTCTGCACCCTTCCAGCTCATTAGCCCCAGAAATGTCTGCATTCTACTCCCGATCTGAATGGAGCTCTCCCCTCTCCCACACAACTCCAACCACCACCAAGGACTTCCAGGTCCACCTCTAAGAACCAGAAAAGAAAGATGCAGTTATTTTGATAAAGGAGCATCAAGAGCAGCAACCCTCTCACTGACAGCCAGAGCCCCACCTGTCTAGTTCCAAGCAGCTTCCAGGGTAGCTCTTTCCCATGAACCAACCAGCAAGATCCTGGCACTAGGACCCTGAAGGCAGGGAACACTGAGACTGCGCTCTGCCGAGGTAGATGCACCATTTCACAACTTCAGCAATAGCCAAGGCAGCCAACAAAGGCTCTGCCACCTCGGCTGAGCCTCTGCTGCTCAGGCGGCTCACCAGCCATTCCTCAGAAGCACATCATACCATCTTTTCTCTTTTAAAACCCACATCATCACTGGATGAAAATCAATCTCCTCAAACCACCACGCAAAGACGTTTCCATAGCAACCTCAAAAGGAAGGACACAGAGATGCTCCAGTGGCTGCAGGAAAAAAAAAAAAAAAAGGTGAGTTTGTTTCTTCTCAACCCATGCCATCTACTATTCTCCTGCCACTCACCGGGGAGATCTGCAGCTCTCAGCCACCACACCAGGTGGGAGAACTCAAAGGTGAGCTAAGAGCCACACTGTAGCATAGGGTACAGTTCTGCACAGTCCCCAAACGGAGTGACGGAAAGCGTTCTTGTGTTCTGGAGGATGGGGATGACAACAAGGTCTCTCCTCTTATTCACTGTCTCAGGTGACTGTCTCACCCTGACAAGCAGCCATCAGTCACTTGTCTTTCTAGTCAAGAAGCTGGGAAGTCACTCTAGAATTTCAGAATTCCCCTATGGCAGCCATGGACCCCACCTCCCTGCCCATGAAATCTTTCCCTTCTTTGATGTCTTGGGAAGACTCCCATTTCTAAGAGATATTCATCAAGCATGAACACTAGGCCTAGCAAAACCCTGCGTGCCTCAATTTCCCTTTCTGTAAAACAGCAATATGCTGTAACAGGTTTGTTGTGAAAATCACAGGAGACCCTGGCAGTTCAAAACTGGCATGGATCATATAGTGAATTCCATGCTACAATGATACCCTGTCTAAACACACACACACACACACACACACACACACACACACACACCCCTGAAAAGCACTTAAAACTGAGAAAAGCACTCAACAAATGCCAGCCACCATCATTACAATGAAGATGGAGAGGGCTGCAAGCACAGGACTCTGGCACAGAGAGGCCCCTCCACACTCCTGGCCTCATCTCAAGGCTCTTTCTCTTTCCACTGATCAGTTGCTTTGAGCTTCTCATGAACCATACCCAAGCATCTATTTCTGACGAAGCTCACACTGGCCATCCTACCCCTCAGGAAACAGACTTGCAGAGAAAGAAAACTGAGCCTTTTAGGAAGAACTCCTTTGCGTCCATCACTGCCTTTCTTTCCTCCTTCCACTCCTCTCCACCTCTTCAACTGCTCTTCTGAGGACCTCACTTCAGCTGCACTCTCTACTGGTTCTTACACATCACAAAAACTTGCCCCGGTCTCTTTCAACTCTAGGAAAAACTATTTCTAGTCCGCACTGTCCTCTGCTGGGCGGCACCACATCTATTCTTCCTTCTCTGAACCTGTGAGTTTGCAGCCCGCAGTTTTCATCAAGTCCTCCGCCTCCGCCTCCACACTGCTCCACTGAAGCTGTTCACACCTTCAAAGCAAAAGCGCCCTGGTGACCAGGGTGTCTTGATCCCCAACCTCCGTGTGAAGCTCTTCCTGGGTGACTACCCTGAAGCAAATGAAGACGGGGCTCCCTCCCTGGAAGTGTTCTCCTTCCTGACTTCCTGACAGCCTGTTCACATGCACACCAATCCCAGTCTCCTCATCCACTCCTTGCCTGCTGTAAGCGTTCATTCCCCACCTTCACCAACCACCTTCTTCCGCCCTCGGCAGACTTCTGAAACTCAGACCCGCATTTCCACCTGGTTGCTAGCATCACAGACCACTCAAGTTCAACATGCCCCAAACACATCTTCGTCTGCCCCCTCAGACACTCTTCCATATGTCCTCATTGGTACTGGCAGCACAGTCTACCCGAGCCATCTAAGTGATCACCTTCAACAGCCCCCACTTATTTGAAGCAATCAGTCATTACTCAGGTTAGCTCTGCAGCTGTTGCCTCTCTCAGATTCATGTGCTCCTCTCCATCCGTGTTGGCCTAATTTCAGTTTAGCCTTAAAACATTTGTTACTTCAAGAGTCTTCCCCTAACATCCATTGTAAGTGTCTCCCAATATCCTGAACCCAGATCCCACCGCTTCAGCCTCCTTACATGATCAGCTTCCAAAGCATAGCCATGCTTCTCCTTGACTAAAAGCTTCCAGTGGGGCCGGCGAGGTGCCTCAGCAGTCCTCCACCAAATCTGACAGCCTGACCCAAATGGTAGAAAGAGCCAGCACCTACAAATTCACACACACACGTACACACACACACACTTAACTTCACTGTGAACAGCAATAACCTCTCCTTTGATGCCAAAGTTCTCTCTCATTCTGGCTACTTGGATCTATGTCCCCTTGTGCTTTGCAAATATAAAAGAGTACTGGCAGGACCCCACTCTTCATCCACCACTACTCACCTCAATAGTCACCTCTGTCCTGAAATTCCCCAACTTCTCCCTGTAGGGCCTTCTCTGCCCTCATACAGACCCCTTGGACAAAAAGTTTTGTTACACTGCCACACTTGATTGGAAATACTGCCTCCCATCTCCTCCAACCTTCCCCTGGGATGGAGCTTTACCCCAAAGCGTCCAAGCACCAAGCACAGGGCTTGGCCCAGAGAAGCACAGAATAGTCGAAAGTCACTGTTCCAGCCAGGCTCTAGGCATACAACCAGGGCCCCAGATCAGAGGAATGTCTCCATCCTGACAGCCCACGAGTGGGGCTCGACACCTGGCTCAGCAGTTAAGGTAGAGCTTGCTGTGCAGCCACAAAGGCCCGAGTTCAGACCCTAGCACCCACAGCAAGCTCAAGCACTGTGAGGGGTGAAGACAGGAGTATTGCTGGGGTTTGCTGGCTGCTTCAAAGGGAATAAGGCATCCTAGCACTTGCAAGGCTAAGATAACATATCTTTATGAGTTCAACCCAAGCCTGGTCTGCATAAGTGAGATTCATGCCAGCCAAGGTCCCATAGTGAGACTGCCTCAAACAAGCAAACAACAACAAAAGAAGAGTAAGTCAGTGTGTTAAGAGAATGCCACCTTCTTTGACCTCCAGGCTTGTGCACAGGGACACATACCCAGACACACCTGTGTGCACACATCAATCCACATGCATACACCAAAAAACAAAACAAAACAATGAAACACCACAGGGTGGGTGAAATACACATGTACACACACACACACACACACACACACCCCGAAGCGCATGATGCTCTTTCAGATAGGAGCCTACGGTCCTGTGGAAGCTGGTACTAACATACAATCTCAAGCTCTTAGGCTTCCATGGTAAAAGAACCATAGACCACAGACAGGTTCTAAGTAAAATGCAGATCTCCTGAAAAGGAATGTTCTTCAGAAGGCTCCGAGGGCGCCAAGGCCCCACGCTCTGCTGCAGTGAAGCCCCTGTGAGACAAGAAGGGGCAGGAAAAGGCCAGCATGCAGATGAACTTGACCTATCAACCCACCTCAACTAATCCTGCTCAGTGTCAGAAAGAAAGTATCAATAAGCCAAAGCCAGAATCTCAAGATGGCAAGGTCGCTAAGATACATTTGCATCAGGCGGTCTCTTCCCTTGTGCTGGTCCACGGACACACTCTGAGGAGCAAAGATGTAGATCCCTGGATTGACAGTCAGATAACCAGCTTCCAGCGCTAACTGCTGCCCTGGGTGACAGGGGACGCTGAGAAGCAGTTTCCATCTCCCTTGTTATGCAACCAACATCTGAAGTCCCCTCTATACTACCTAGCCTCTAAACAGGCCACACCAGCTACAATCTTTTCTAACCTCCACTGCCGGACAGCTACTACCACTGGAGGAGCTGTGTGGAGTCCAAAGAGGCCACTGTTGATGTTCTCTAACCCCTGTGACTCTTCCCTTTCAGTGTCTTCTCTTTTGTGCCCTCACATCCAGCCAGGCTTAACAGCACCTCATCCTTCCATTCTCCTCCATTACCACTGTCAGCACTTTGCTCTGCCATTTGATAGCTCTAAAGATTAAAGCACATCGTTTCTCCCTTCTGCTGCTCTCTCATCCGTACAGAAATTTACATCAAATGAGATCATGCCCATAAAAAGTTCTGTACAGTTAAATATAAAAGCCAGGCATTACTGTAATCATTGGTCTCTTAACTCAGAGATTCGACTGCCTTTGCCTCCCAAGTGCTGGGATTAAAGGTGAGTCACCACACCTGGCTTTGCAGTGTTCAACTTTAATCCCAACTCTTGGAAGGCAGCTATAAGTGAATCTCTCCAAGTTTGAGTACAGCCTGGTCTACAGAGTTCCAGGACAGCTAGAGCTGCAGAGAGAGAGAGAGAGACCTTGTCTCGAAAAACAAAGTGAACTCTTACCAGGTGTGGTGGCGTATAGTTTTAATCCCAGCACCCAGGGGCAGGGCCGAAGCAGGCAGATCTCTGTGAATTTGAGGCCGGCCTACTTTACACACTGCCAGACGACAGCTTGTCTACTTAAAGAAAAAGAAAACAGAAAGCATACGGTGATGCCTGTTTATAGATCAGCCCTCTCGGGGCGGCAAATGCAGGAAGAGTGCTTGGAGTTTGGGGACAGTCTGGGCCAGACAGTAAGTTTCAAGCAGGCCTTGGCTACAGAACGAGGCTCCGCCTGCCTCCAAAAACCCAAGGAAGCGGAGCGAAGTACTGATTCTTACAGCATCGGACTACAGCTTTTTTCTTCAAACCGAACTGGTCCTTAATTCTTCCATCACATTTAAGAAAGCTCCTTAAGGGTGTCTTTGTTGGCACACAGTGGAGCTTTAGATGGACCTTGAAGGGCGGGTGTGGCGTGGAGGACTACAGAAAGCACTGAAGCAGCTGCAGTGCTACACATGAGGCTGTACACCAGACCCAGGACTAGATGATGGCAGATGATATGTGAACCACGCAATGTTTCAGAGTTTCTTTATCTTACTACGGTATAAAAAGCTGTTGGACAGCCAGGGCTACACAGAGAAATCCTGTCTCAAAAAACAAAGACAACAACAAAGTTGGATACCCCCACACCTGGTCAGAGTCAGCTTTTAAAAAGAGGTTGCTTTTCTTTGGTTTAATTCTAAGTGGGAGCCTACACAAGAAGGATGGACACTGCATGGGGTCGTTTCACCAACCTCAAGAGCATCTTTAGTGTGCTATCCCAGGAATACGATGAGAGGTCTTATGCCTGGAATCTGAGCAACTGGGAGGAGCAAGTAAAAGCAGGCATGTAGGGCCAGCCACAGCTACACAGGGAGTTTGAGGCCAGCCCTTACCACATGAGATCCTACCTCAGAAAGGTGAGGGGGGAGGGAGAGTGAGGCCTTATATCTAGTTATTTCCCCATTGTTAGAAATGGTCAAGCCAAACTGCAAAATCTGACAAACTGACAAGGGTATCACGCATGGAAGTCAGCTGCAACAAAGGTGACTGGGTCAGAACCCCAGCATGCAGATGGAAGGGGCTGCAGGGCTCCTAATGCTGATTCCTGTTTTAAGGTCTGAATAAAGTGGCTAACCCAGGGCAGCAGTGGGTTCCACACAGCAGGTAGCAAAACGTGTCTGTCATCTAAG